AGCATTGTGCAATCCGATTTCAAGTATTACGTGATTAGTTTTTAAGTATTACGTGACTAGTTTTTAAATATTATTGTGTGACTAGTTGATGTGACATTGCGTGATTAGTTGATATGGCATTGCGTGACTAATTGATAGGTATTGCGTGATTAGTTAGGAAAGCATTGTGTAACTAGTAAGGTATTGCGTGACTAATTTTTGAATGTTGTGTGACTTAGGCATTACCTAAAAATTAATCACGCAATGCCTATAACCTAATCACGCAATACCTAAACATCAATCATGCAATGCCTATAAACCGAAGACGCAACGATCAAGTCACACAATACCTAAAAATTCAGTCTCACAATACCTAAAGCTAGTAACATAATGTTTAAAAACCAGTAATGCAATACCTAATAATTAATTAATTTGCTTGCTTGTAGCTAGGTTTAAGTTACTCAAGTTATACAGTGTTCTAATTTATAGATATGTCTAATCAATTTCAATCCCCCAACTTTGAAGTTTTATGAATATAAACTAATAAACCCAATAACCTAAAACACATATCTTAATATCATTTATACTTTTTGGGATAGTGAGAAAGAACTAAATGGTGATACAGACAGTATCTAGTAAGAGACAAAAATAGAGATTTAATTTTAAAATTTTTATCTAGATGGTAGTAGGGGTGTGCATGGGTCGGTTTCGGTCGGTTTTCGGGTCAGTTTTTTGCCAAAACCGACCAAAAATTTTTGAGGTATAACCGATCGAACCGCAATGATATACAGTCGGTTCGGTCAGTTTTTAAGAAGTCGATTCTGTGTCGGGGGGAAATTAGGAATCTGGACTTGAGGGGGGGGGGGGGGGGGGCGAGGGGGGAATCGGGACTCGTGGAGAGGGGCAGGGGGGAATCGGGACTTGTGGGAGGGGGGCCGGGGGGATCAAGTCGGGTCCGTGGGGGGGGGGGGGGGGCTGGAGCTGGAGGGGGCCGGCCGGCCAAGGGAAATCAACACAACAATTCAGGATCGAGTCGGGGGGAATAGTAGGGGGCGGGCCATGGGTAGCCGGGTAGCCGGGGGGCTCGATTTTTTCGTCGGTTCGGGGGAAAGGATTTCCCCCGACAACCGAGCAGATCAACCGACGAGGCCGATGCACAACTGACGGTTGCAAAAACAACCGTCGGTTGTAACCGTCGGCTGCGGTCGTTGGACGGTTCCAACCGACATTGCCCACTCCTAGATGGTAGAATAGAGAAAAACCGAAATCATTTTAATTTATCTGAAATTGTTTAAAGGGCATTGTTGTCAAACATGTCAAAAATTAATTAAAAATAATTAAAATTATAATGAATGATAATTTTTTATGAGGAAAATTATCACTTACAGATTTTTAATGTATGTCCTGACAACAGTGTTTCGGCAAAGACTTCAGGAAAATTCTGATTATCTAACCTAGCTAGAGTGACATCCATAGGATAATTATGAAGAGATTAGCAATGAAATGATAGTATTAATTTATAATTCAGGATTGTACTATGAATAGGATGACAGCTTGTAAAAATGGATTACGTGCACGGGAATCTTGCTAAGAGCCAAAAAAACCAAAAAACCTCTGCCGCATAAAGAGACCAAGAAAAAAGCCTCTTCTTTCCCTGTTTTCAGCACTATGAATTTTATCATTTACCCTCTCTGCACCGGATGGGTTGGGGCTTCAAAACAGGAAATGATTGAGTGTTCATCATAAATTTCGATTTGGTTTTGGTTTTGGTTTTGATGATAGTCTCTTTAACTAATTCAAGCATGTCAAAAAGAGTTTGCGTTTGTTTTGTGGTTTTTTAATGCTATCTGACATCAGGTCATTTATGGAATGACTCGATAAGCAATAAGTAGTTTTTCCAATTTCCATACTAGCTGATGCTCTCATGCTCTCACATTGCTGAATTTCTGCAATTATCTTGAGATATAGCCGTATAATATTTTTTGCCTGAATACCCGAATAGATTAGTTAAGCAACCATCTTACTACTAGTTATATCTTTATTTATGCAACTTGTCCAAAACAGTTCCCAACCATATGATATGATCACCCAGTAGTGAAAAACTATCGTGACAGTTTCGACCTTTTTTAAACTCATTGGATCCTTTAAACGTGGCCACTGTTAAAAGCCCATCATAATGATGTTTCTTTAAAGTGATTAAGAGAATGTAACCTCTAATTAATCTTGCTAAGGAAATAGAACCAGTTCCTGGATAATTACTATTTACACCTCTGACCATTCAGAAACTTAGATTTGATTCGTAGATCTTAGACTTGTTCTTAAACTAGCGTTTCATGCTGAACCAGCAGGCTTGCAAACAGGTAAATCCTTTTCAACATTGGGTGGAATCCGAAGAATTGGGTTGCTCTCGAAGAAATTAACTGGCTTCAAATCAAAGCTTGAGGACACAGTTGGCATAATAGGAAAGTCCTCCTGGCATGGTATGTGATGGAAGCCTAGAGTATACCACAGCACAATATCCTTGTTTTCAATTGATCGGTCCCTGTAAAAATCAATCACATTGGAAATGGAAATGAACATTAGCTATGGAATAACAATTTGAACAGGGACAATAGATGTTAACCAAAATCAACATTCTTCGTTTCTTACCTATCAGACCAAACAGCAAGAGTGTCCTCACCCTGGCTCTGATAAACAAATAATCCACCTGCCCATTGCTCGCTTTTGTTATATGGAGTGACCCATATCTGGTTATTTGTGAATGCACCTCTTCTCTGTGGTGGATCTTCATGATCCAGCAAGCTAGCGGCGGAACCGCCAGGAACTACCTTATATCCAACCGGGTTCCCAACCCTTGTCTTCTTAGTTGGATTGATCACATGGAACTCAGATGGGTCATAGAGTTTAAGCTGAACTTGTGCATCTTTCTCTGTTTTGGCCACATTTCTGACAGCTTTCAAATAGCTTTTTCTTGGTGACTCTCCCGGCGAGGTATCTTGCCTCTGGATATTTACTTTAACAAAGGAATTATCGGAGCCATCTGTGTCCATATCCAAGTAGAATGTGATGTAATGATCATGGATAACGCCAATAACGTTTTCAGACAAAAGCGTGCCAAAGAGATGTTCTTGCGCTTCCACTTGGTTCATGTTTTCATAGGTGGTACCTTTCACCATCAAAATGCCGCTAAGTCCAACCTGTGGTCATCAGTAATTTTGAAATTAGAACAGCGTAATATGCTAGCCAGGAAACTCCAAATAAACGCCAAATTTCAATGAGATAATCTTCATCAGACATATTAAAGCCACTGTTGACTAAAAAATATCAATGATTTTTCTTCCTCAAAAGATGTGGACAAAGAAGATAACGATTGATGACCCTGATGCGGTACGTTGAAAAAGAAGACTTTTGAGATCGAAGAGTTCACTGACCTTAATCCTGATTAGCCCGTCTGTTTGGAACTCCCAATCAACAATATAGTCATAGTTAGCCACTGATGCAGCCATTCTGACCACTAACGTCACCTTTGGCCTCACTTCCTTAATCTGCCAAAATAAAGTAAAGCTGATAGGTGAATTGCAACACACTAACAGGCTCAACACTGCTAATAGTACTAGAGGGATAGGATACATGTTTTGCTTTTAGACGAACAAACAAAAAACATTCAAGATTTTGGACAATGACTAAACCATCAATACGCAAAATTTTCAACACATTGACATTATCTAAGCCTGTTAGTAGTATTAAAAAATCTAAGCACCCCGTGCAACAATCAGCAGGACTCCAATATTCTTACCTCCATACCCGTGATTGGACTCTCCGAATGCCGCCACCCTATATCACCGGTGTAGCTCTCAAACACGCAGATCATGTTTGATCGGACATAAGGTACACCATCACCGGCGGCAAACACACCATCCATATAATATGCATTTCTTGGACAATCATTAAGGGGGTCAAGTGGCATAGCCTGCAACCCGAACCCGTATTCGCCCGCATCCATATAAGTCTTAAAATACCATGCATCGGTAGGGTCCATGTAAGGCACAAACAATTCAGAAGTAAACCCTTTGTACATCACATCCCTCATCACCCCACTATCCGGGTCCCGGACCTTAGCTCGGGAAACCACCACGCCTGCTCTGGGGTCGGGTTTTAAATGGAATTCCCAATTTGCCCATTTCACCAAATGTTCATCTTCAATGACAAAACTCGGACCCTTCGGCTGTTCAATGGATATGGGGTTTATCAAGTTGAGTTCCTGCTGAATCTTCTGCTCCGAGTAACGATAGTCCGTGTTCGTGGCTTTTGGAACCGGGATGGCCCGACCCGTATCCGAAATCTCCACCACTTCTTTTGTGTCCAAATCGAGTAAAACAGTTAACCCTTCGATTGGTCTCATGTAAAAGTTAGCAGTGTCTTTCATGGAGTAGCACTGTACCTTAATTAACCTCCTGTTCTCCTCGTTTTCCCCGAACCACCCCAAGGAAATCGGCAGGCACGCCACGTCATCAAGATTAACACCTCGTTCGATGATCGTACGGTTGAACTTGGCGTTCGAAAGTGGAGCCCAGGTAGCGGATGTCATGTCCTCGATCGTCATCATCGGGTAACCAGTCGGAGGAGCGGTGTTGAGAACGTTGACTTCGTTGGTTTCCAAGTTGACCGTCAGCACATGTGACTCTCCGTTGGCACGTGCGATGACGGAGGCTATTCTTGGGAAGAGCGGTTGGCCTTTTGTCCATTGCAAGACGAGGTCTTTGTCTGGTTCTTCTAAGACGACGGAATGGAGCGCGTAGTTTTTTGAGGATTTGAAGAGCGCGTGGGAAGAAAGGATGGTGCGGACCTTATTGAATTCTTGGATGGTGAGAGGGTCGACGGGGTGGCGAGGGGCGGCTGACTCATGGCGAGGCCTGGTGGTAGCGGTGGCTCTCGGGATTTTGGTGATTGAGGGTTGTTTGGACTGAAAGCGGTTCTTGGAGGTACACCAGGGAGAGTTACTGGCGCAGTCGAGGAGGGTGGTGACGTTGGGTGGTGGCGCATAAGGAAGGTGAGTCCAGGTGAAGAGGAGGAGGAATGCTATGGCGAAGAAGAAAAAGAGGAAACGAAAGAATGGCTTTGATTCCATGGTTGTGTGATTGTGTCTTTTGTAACTGAAGGGGCGAAGAGTGTGGAGATAGCTGATAAGCCTGTTGAGCAAGAAGCTTACAAGTTATATATCGAAACAAGAAATGATTGAGGATGTGGCAAGTGCGCAACATGGTGTACCAGCCGATACAAATGTGGCCACACGTTTTTGGAGTTTTGGATATTTTTGTGCGTCGGAAATGAAAATTACTATCTCTTTCTTTTCTCACCAATGTAGTAGTGGTTAGACCCATTTCAATTTGGGAAACACTTTCTCTGTGTTTTTTGCTTTATTTGATTCTTTTTTCCTAGATTGGCAACTGCAATTTGGTTTTAGATCTTAGTGGCCTATTAATAAAATAACCAAATTACTAAGTCAAGGATGATTTTCAGTTTTTTGTCTTGCTTTCATTGGTTATTATATAGGAAACAAAACCCTTTTTTGGTGAAAAAATTTAGGAGCACGATTAAGATCAGTAAATAATGATAAATAACAGGTGATGGCCAATATCAACTCTTGATTCTCATTTTCCTTGAACAGCACCTTTATACATAATTACTACTTTGCTCACTACTAAAAAGATAGCAGAGTTGGTGAGGACTTCATTTCATTCTACTCATGAAATGTTGATAATTATTACAATAATCTTGGCTGAGTTCTCATTTTATTCTTCAAAATAACACTGTTAATTACTCTGATTTTGTGAAGTTTAATTCAGTACACAGAAGTTGGAACTTCGAACATTTTTGTAGAGATTAAGGTTTAACAATCAGTATTAAGTTATTGCCACTTTACTATCACTAATTAATTTACTAATTATTACTAGTATGATGTAATAATAGTAATTGACATTGGTAATTAATTATTGCTAAATCCGAATTATAGGAATCTGTCTGCCTTCGAAAATCAAGATACTGGTACAGATTAAATGCCAGTGGGTGGAATTTTAGGAATTTGTCTTATTTCGGAGAATGTTATTCGAAAATCATACTCTTGGGTGGAATCACGTGCCAATAAGCCCATGAGAAGTGGCAGATGCAGAGTACTATATCAATGCTGACAAAAAGCATGCCTAGAAGCACCCGCTAAAAATAATTTAAAAAAAAGCCGAAATGCAATTTGTAAACTAATATTCTCCATTACTTTTCTTTTGTTGTTTTAATGACAACTTGGTTTGTTTTAAAGAAAATTTATTGAACTTACAAAAGTACGTAGAGAACACTACCTCTCTTTTATATATTACTATTATTATTTTATTATGGCAGCATGGTTTTCAAGATATAACATACATTTGATTTTGATACTATAATATTATCTTTATTTGTTGGATAATGTAAAGCAAGTACGTATATACTTTTTTATTCTTAGTTAAGGTCTGTTTTGTGGGTCACTCGGGCAAGTGAAAGTTGCTTGGAAACCGTCTGAGATAACTTCAAGTAGGAGGAGGGTAAGCGAAGATGTCACTTCCAAGTCGTAACATCAATTAGAGCTAGCGATTAATTACAAGTGTATTAGCCTGCGGAATTCTCTGGGATGATATGGTATTGAGGAAGAGGCAATCAAGATTCAAGAGAAAGCACCTGGCCGGCAGACAGGTAAGTCTTTCTCAAAGGCTGGCGCAGCTCGAAGAATTGGATTCCTTTCGAAGAAATTGACAGGCTTGAGCTCAAAGCCTGATGTCACTGTTGGCATTACAGGGAAATCTTCTTGGCTTGGAATGTGATGGAATCCCATGGTGTACCATAACACAATATCCTTACTTTCGATAGGACGATTCCTGTTTTCGAAGATAACAAAGCATAAAATCAATGGTAGAACCAATACGGTAAAAGATTTTATTAAATTTTCGACTTTTTTACCTTTCAGACCACACAGCAAGAGTGTCCTCTCCCCTGCTCTGATACACCAGAAGCCCACCAGCCCATTGTTCACTCTTATTAAAGAGGGTCACCCATATCTGTTGAGTGAAATAGCATAAAAAATTGCAAAAGTTTGAAT